AAGCGTGCGTTATGCGTGAGGCAAATGCGTACATGTGTGTGTGTGTGTGTGCGTAAGTGCGCACATATATTCGTATATTTGCACAGCGTATATGCATACTCGAGACTGCTCGCGCGAGTGCGGCTTTTGACACTATTACCAGGCCAATTCTATTCGCCGAGTGAATTATGGACGGCTACTAAGCAAATGTGCGTATGGTAAACGTTCCTCGTGTGGTCTTCTAAACTACGTGTGAATCGTCGTCGCTTTGAGAAAAATCGAGAAAAAAAAAGTGACGATCGCGACGAGCCGACTTTGACATTCTGTTAGAAACATTATATTGTTTCTAACGTGTTCTATGGATAATTTAGTTTTGTCACGTCGGCGTATTTGCTCCGTTCCGAAGCTCATTTCGAGTGGTTTTTTTATACTGTTATTATACGCGACCTAGACCGCGTACAAAGGGTGGCTATCTTGTCTATGGGAAAATATGGCTTGCGAAGCTTTTGTGCGAATGAGTGCGTACGTATATATCGGTGCAGGTAAACGGGCGGCGGTTTCGCTCCTTCTTCTTCTTTTTGTTCTATGGGAATCATAGAAAGAGGAACAATGGAGATCGTCTAGGCTCTATCCTATACTTCCGAAACTGGTGTAACCGCTCGTGCTTTCGTGCTACAATCGCGAGAAAGTACGTCGTCGACGCATCTTCTTCTTTTTTTTTTTTTTTTTTGGGTAACATTTATTATTTCAGGGGCATACGCAGCAACGCGCGCCCTTTTACTTTCTGGGCAATTCGAAAGATTTGTTGAACGCGACTCTGCGACTAAATAGTCGATTAAAATTTTTGCGAACGAACGAGTCGGGCGCACTCGGAGCTTCTCAAAATAATATCATCTCTTATAACGCGTACCTGGATGAAAACGACGCTTAACACTGCCGCTGCTCTGGGGCAAGAATAAAACGCATACGCGTACGCGGGTCATTAAGTTCATGCTCATTATGAATTCCCCTCGAGAGTGACGAAATTATTAATACACGCTCGCGCGACTGATGTGCACGCACGAGTAATATATACACGAGTGCAGTCGCGAGTGTTGATTTTGCGGTGTATTTTTATGCAACGTAAACAAATCCGTCGAGAAAAAATTGAGAAAAATCTCGCACACCCTTGCCCTGACGTAGGTACGTCTCGATTCACCTCGACTATCGTGCAGCGCTTCTGCAAGCCATCGGTTATCGAAATGTTACTCTGCTCATGAGTACACGTGTTATCTCGATCGCATAATGCCCTGAACGTTACAATCGTATGAAACACGCACGATGTACTTTTATTTCTACAGATCGAGAGAGGACCTCGTTCGATCATTGTCAAGAGAGCTGCTCGAGTGAGAGAGAGAGAGACTCAATGACGAATCTCGAGCTTTAAATGCGGTGGCGGCGGTGGCCTCGTTGGTAGTCGCGCGACATAATACCTGGTTATAAGCCATCGTACATGCATACACGTAAATATCGTATCAGACCGCCCAAGATATGCGTATAATGCCGCTGAGAGTATAGTCGCAGAGTTCCCACAACGTAACCGATCCATCCTCTTACTCTCTCTCTCTCTCTCTCTCTCTCTCTCTCTCTCTCTCTCTCTCTTTCTGTCTCTCGCTCGCGAAAAACTGGACCGACCTGTCGCCTGATTAAATCTGCATGCGACCGCGATCAAGTGTGTGTGTGTTTGTGAATATGGGAACTGCGTACTGTACTCGAGTGTATATATACACATTCGTGCATAAAACGTACCTACACCCATACTTTGTTACGCATATTATTGAAAAAATGACGAGTAATAAAAAAAAATGTCCACCGAGCCTTATCGCGCGCGTGCGCGCGTATTTAAAAGGACCCGGAGGGTGAATATAAATACGTACGTGTGAAAGCGTATTACACACAAACTCGCGCGCGCGCGAGTTACGTTCTGACTGGCACCTTGAGGCAATTATGTATAAAATCCAGCTTCTGCGGCAGCCTCGACATTACTATGTTACTGATTGATTCGCTATACATTATGGGGGAGTATATAAATCATGTATAAATCACGAAGCTGACCTTGCTCATTACGTTCTGAAAATGACTCTTTTACCCTGTATCTTTTATTTTTTTCTCTTTCGCACTAGAATATCGACCGATGTCGGAATCAAATAGTCGTCGCATGCCGTGGACTCGCCTCTGATAGCGCCTATTAAACAAGCCGCTGATTCCATCGACAGATGGAGTATCGAAAACCCGCAAGTGGCAAAAACATTTTCTAAGGGAATATATACCAATTTTATTATAATTATTTTAATATAATCAGCTCAGCCGCATTTGCACGCAACGCGAAAAGTACCTAACATGCGAGAGGATGCACGCTGATATTTTGTCGAGGACGAAACGGAAACAGCGATCGGTTATGTAATTACTGGCCTGCCCTGAGTAGTGGCTAAGTTTTCTGGTCCGCGTTCGCGTGCGATACATCGTATATGTATACGCTAGTACGTCGGCTCGCAAGATGTATTCCATAATATAATATATATGGCGTGCAGCAGTGGCGAATTGCATTTCGTACCGGAGCTATACAGCCTCGTGTTTTCTGCAGCGAAAAATACAAAAAGATCGCATATATACGTGTACGTCTATAAACGTCGACGGGGGATTCGTAAAAACACACAATAATCTGGGAGAATCGACCGGGAGGTGGGGTGGGTGGTTATTTTTTGTGTACGCGCGGTGGTCGATGCATTTATATATATCCCATATTGTACTCGCGATATATGTAACGTGTATACAAGCCGATGCAGTAGCCACAAAGAGAATCGCGTGTCAAAAATTATCCCGAGATGAGTTGCTGCTGCTGCTGCTGCTGCTTCGAAGAGAAAGAGAGACGACGAGCGGCGTGTATAAATCGGGCCAGCTCGTCTTAGATTTTGCGGTCGACTTGTAGAGACCTCGTGCGCGTGATCTATTCAGCGATGGAGCATCGTACATGTAAGTATACTCGAAATACGTCCAATTTTTATAATTTCGAGATGCAATTGACACGGAAGTACTTTGGGCGCGGGCAGTGGTATATTACGACCGAGACGTATAGCTGTTTCGCGCGTCAATCACTTCCAAGTATCTTAAGCTCGTAAATACGTACGAAGCCCAAAAATGCAAGAACCTGATAAAATAACATTTTTCGACGTGAAAAATAATAAAGAAAGAGAAGTGGCATTATACATAGCGACGTCAATGTACTTTTCAGAATTCGAAGTACACCTATTATGCGTGTTCTCGCGCGACGACACAACACCCACACGCGGCAATTATTATTAGCTATATATAAGCGCGAATACGCGCCGAGGCAATGCGTCTGTGTACGAATAGCAACGCGACTATTGTATTATATATCCTCGGTGCGGTCGCTCGACGGAACACTTCGAAATGAGCCTGACTTTACGACGCGACGAGGATCGGCCGCATACACATACGGGTACGAGGCGAGTTCGTCGTTCGCGAGCCAATACGCGCACGTATTATGCGCACTTCTAATGGATATCCATTGGCGAAGTTGAAGTGTCACACGCACAGGCACACAAACGCACACCTATATAGGCAGGCGAAACGAAGCTCTCGACGCTCGCGATGCCTGTATAATACGTGCGAAGAAAACAAGTTGCGGTGCTGATTTTAAAGTCAGCCATTGTCTATTAGCGCTGTGGCGCGCGCTGCTCCAAGGAGAGACAGAAAGAAAAATACATACGCGCGCGCGCGCTAGCAAAGAGTGGATATATAATATTAGAGGCGTGCATACATTTGCAGGCTATAGCAGGGCCGCGAGCTCGTTAAGAGACAAAAGCTCGCGGCTGAGATGAAAAAAAAAAAGAAGGAGTGAGAGAATCGAAAGGCGTACGCGAGTTAAGACCGATATTTTATGTACTTATCAGTAGGGAAAATAAATTTTGGAGCCGATACGCGTTTTGATTTTGGAGATGAAAAAACGGTCGATGATCGAGCACGACACTTGGTCATTCGTAGATCGCTTATGAATATCATGTATTTTTTTACATCGCGCGTGCGTATAAATGTCACAGCTCAGAATGAAAAGATACGAGGAGAGAGACAAAGATGATCATTAGATAAATGGTTCGACTATTGCAGCATCATTATTATTATGATTTGATTGTATGTAATCGTAAAAATGAGAATGAGAAAAATTAAAAAAAAGAAGTTGCTGTATGGTCATAATCTGAATACTAAAGCAAATAATTTTTATTATATCTTATTAAATGTAGAGTATAGATAAATTCAAATATTATGTTATACATATTTAAGTATGAAATTTAGACTTTTGATATGTCAGCTGCAGATAGTTTTAATACTAACACGTGTACAATTTTTATCATTTGCGTTACTTATAACAATTTTATAAAAATCAATCATGTGTTTTTGGAAATAAAATGAATAATTTTGCATTTATGTGACCTACGAAAAGTGCACTAAACAATAATTGTTCTGCGAAATTGCAGATGCAGTGAATCATTACACTTCCACATGAACGATTTTCAATAGCCTATAAAACTTGTAGAATTTATGAAGTTATTTTAGAATCAAAATAGATAAATGTATTAAACAAACAAGCACCTACTACATCATGCCAAAAGTATACTAGGAAACACCACTGAAATTTCAGGTGTGATGAATTATTACACACACGCGCTTGAGTAATTTTCAATAGCTTGTAGAGCGTTCGAAACGCGTGAAACAAATGAAGATATTTGAAAATCAAAATTACTTATTTAATAAGTAAATATGCATATCACACCGAAAGTACACAAGACTAACCTACTATAATTTTTGGCGCGATAAATCATAACGTTACACATGAATCGTTTTTAGTCGCCTATAAAACGTTCGACGATAAAAATATTCGAAGTAGTTTTGAAATAAGTGTCCGGCGTTTAACGTTTTTTTTTCGATTTAGTCTAAGAAAAGAAATTTTGCGAGTTGCCAAAATGTATAAAGTTTTAAAGTTGTTTCTCATAATTGCTCCCTTACTGGTAATATTAAAACTATTCTAATAATTTGATTCGATACTTTACGATGTGATATTAAATAAATTAAATTAGATTGCAGCTCGAAAGTACAAAATAGCCAACAAAGGCGAATACGTATCGTCGATCGAAGAATTTCCTTACCACGTAGCGATCATCGTCGATGAACATTATCAATGTGGTGGTGCTTTGATTTCTGATCAACACGTTCTCACTGCTGCGCATTGCGTCCAAGACGTCGTCAAAGATCCTAACAGCTATGTGGAGATTCGAGCTGGCTCGACAAATTGGAAAAGCGGATATACGAAGTTCGACGTTCGCAGAGTAGCCCACTCTCCGGACTACAGGAAAGACAGTGTAGTAGGCGATGTTGCAATTATTCAAGTAAGCATAAATTTTTCTTTTAAATTGTTGAAAAATTTCATATCGTTTAATGAACTTATTTTTATAGCTTAAAGAACCTGTGACTTTTACTGAGAAAATAAAGCCAATCGGTTTACCTAATTTGAATGCCGACGTACCTACGGGAACCTTCGTTTGGATCGCCGGATGGGGATCGAACATTACCTCTCCATTAGTGACAGATGAGCTGCGAGTAACCCTCACAAACACTGTGTCTTATGAGTTTTGCGAGGAGAAATGGAACGCCACAGTATCTAGACATAAAATTTGCACCTACCGACCGGATTTCCATGGCACTTGTCCGGTAAGTCAGACATTTTTTTACATTATTTCACAAAGCAGTAGATGAGCTGTTTAATTTGATAAATACTTGTACCAAATTTCAGGGAGACAGCGGCAGCCCAATGGCCGATTTAGACAGAAAAGTAGTCTTAGGCATAGTGTCTGCAGTAGCTAATCCCTGTGCCAGCGGTGTTCCAGAGTCACACACCAAAGTATCCGACTATCTGATGTTCATTCTCTACGAGATGGGTTATGCAGTGGACCGTTATCCCGATTACGTACATGAAGGATACCCTGGCGTGAATTACCAATAAGTTTTTTTAATTATAACTTCAGCCCTATTGATACTATTTTGATTATGAGTGATCATGTTTAATAAAAAATGGGTTGTATTTAATGTTTTTTAAAGAGTTACACGGCGATGTGTACGAATGATAGGCTAAATGTACATAATGTATTTAGATAATTATAAGAATAAAATGTGTGTCAGCATTGGTAAAAAAAAAATTGATAGCAATGTTTGATCAAAAAATGCTATTTGATAATTAGAATATTATCTAATAGAGCTAATGAAATTTAAATTCTATTATCCGGCAGTGCTCATATTAACTAATAAATAAGTTTGAATTCCGGCAAAGTATACACTTATTAACAACAAAAGAGTTTTAATAGCGACGTTCCGGATAAAATATTTATTGTAATTTTCACAAATCAATTACAACTAATATATTGGAATATCGAAATAATCGTCAAAGATGTACTTCTAATTATTTGATACAGTGTGACCTTTATAGATTTTCAAGTGTTATTTACAACGGCTACGAAGATAATTCATTAAAATATTAAAATTTCTAAAAAATCGTCAGTTACATTTTTTGATATTATCTGCCCATTAATCATGAAATAAGTCATGGTCAATAGCAACACTCTGCTTATCTTGCACTCAGATTTTCAGTACGAAATATTGTAGTACGGCTGAAGACCTTTCCGAATCACCGGACAGAATTTGGTTAAAAATTTTTTTCGCTAAGATCTCGTGGCTGACATGAAAAGGACAATTTGAAACATATTTGAAACATAACCTCTAAACGGCACTTCACTCAATTATCGATTTAGAAGAGAAATTTTTCGGGAAATCGAAAATTCTAAGAGTTAAGTATTAGAGTAGAGCTGTATACCTTTCGAAATCTTGCGTCAGAATTTCGATCGGTCGAGTATTCCCCGAGATCTCGTGGCTGACTCATGTTAGACAGAAAATCGAAAAAAGCGTGTTTTCATGCTAAAAAAAATTTGGATGGCTCTATCTTTTTATCTAATGCATCAAATCATCTGAAAATTTGCATGGATTCATTATTTTCGATTCCCTATCGAATGATACATATCTGGTAGCACCCTGAATAACGGAAGTACTCTAACTAGAACTACCTTTTTTTTCAATGGATTTCAATGGAATAAACTTATTTTAATAATTATATTTTTTTATAAACATAATATTATGAAAATTATAAAAAAATTATCATTAATTTTTTTTTATAAATATTTTTTTTGTATACAATTTTTTTTTCATAAAAAATTTTTTAATAATTTTTTTTTATACTATGACGCTTAGGTGCTACTTCACCTCTTGATACAGCGCGTACGATTTTTTGCGGTTATATGCGCCAGTTTTACGAGCGCGAGAACACGGCGCATTACTCTGTACGTGCTTACTTGTCAAAAAAAAAGGTATTATGCATTCGAACTTTTACTACTTTATACATATATGGGTAAATAATATAAATATATATTGCGCGAGCGAACGTCTCGGCTGCGCAATGTGTCAACGACCCTTGGCAAAATAAAAAAAGAAGAAATTTCTATGAAAAGGACAAAGAACGAGAAAGATGCAGATGCTGCATACGGCGCTCTCACCTGCACATTCGACCATTATTGCTGTTACGTATTAACTTTGGGAGTTTCTTCCGTAATCGGGGAATTTATATACGTGACGAGCTTCTGCTCTGCGCGTAAATGCAAATGTCACTAAAAGTGAGCGCCTATAATAATGTGAAAATAATTTTCGACTTTTAAGCTTTTTTTAAGACGCGCTCCGCACAATGGAAAGCGAGATTTGTGATGACAAACGATTATACATTCGACAAATGTATAGCAACCCCCGCGTTATTATAGCCTCTTGGCTTCTATGCGATATAATACGAGGCGACAAAAGCACTTGGCTTTTAAGACAACACAAAGAGAGACGAGCTGCAAAGTATAATCGAATATACGTCGGCGTTTTTCGGCTCATCTCCATAAATCAGGGAATCATTTGTCACACTCGGGCGAAAAATCGGGCTGCATTGAAGGAAATAAAAAAAGAAGAGACTTCGTATACGATTCCCTTGTGGGACCATGTATGTAGGAATATAAGAACGAGGGAGATCGTGTTACAGAAATTCATTAAAAGCCAGAAAATCCACATTTCTTAGGCAATTCAACGCCTGAATCCTTTGTTGTGTGCCTCACCCTGACTTTAAATCGTTGATTGTTATGCTCTACGAGAAGAAACGAGACGTTTTTGAGCGAAAAAAAAAGAACTTTTATTACTACGAAGATATTTAGAATATCGTAAACTTTATTTGCACCACTGATTTTCTTTCATTTACAAATTAATTAAAAGAGTAAACAAAATTGAGCCATCCATTGTGTACGAGATCGTTATGGAAACTGCCCCTCGCATTTTAAAATTTTCGCACTAGCAGCATATAAAAAGCTCGCGGACACAAAAGATCATCTCTTGCCGAGAACAATGAGCTGGCAAGTTATTGATGTGAACGATACGTTACGTTACACATATATAAAATAATAAATGGGTCGAGAGAAAAAGAGACGGCGGAATTTTTCAGCTGGCAGGTGAAGGCACGATGATCGTCGTTTCTCTCGGCTTGCAAAAACTCCACCGTGTATACGTAACGAAATAAATGTATTATCGCCCGGATAGTTCCATCTTTATTCTCATCGCCCCGAACGCATACGCACTCGAATACATAACGTAACACCCCGAAAAAAACCTCCTCCTGTCCTTTTCTCTACAGATCTGCTCTCTCGCTCACCACCACCACCACCACCACCACCAGCATCGTCGTCGTCATCCTCCACCATCCCTCACCATCCACCAGCACTGCTACTACGTATAGAGATCTGTGTTTTCTTTGTTTACAAACTCGCCCGAAATACAATTCGGTCGCGCATACACGTATATATTTTGTCGGGCTACGGGACTCGGAGAAATTCCCATGCGCAGCCGAAGCTTAACTTTTGCGCACTTACCTACTACTTCAGCTTTTTGCAACCCCTTACGCAGTGCGGAGGCCAAGTCGAGTCGTATATCGCCGCCACCGAGCATAACAAATGCGTAAATGTATAACGTAATGGGGGGGTTAGTAAGTAGTAGCCTAGGAGCAGCAGCAGCAGTATACGTCACCCCTCGAAGTCGGGCGACATATACCGCCTGGAGGCACCTGGAGAACGACGACGACGACTGCCGAAAGAGAGAAGCCGAGAGAGAGAATTCGTGGGAGCTTACCCTTCTCCTTGTGTGTTTGTGTGTGCGGCTCGAGTCGCTTCCTCCTTCCTACACGTCCAACAGGTTACGGGTACTATTCTACGCAGACACGCATACTGCGCGTAAGCGCAACACGTGGAAGTAAGGGAGCGAAAAAAAGCTGCTACTGCTGTGCGCTGGTGTATATACGCGAAGGGGTGCACACATAGCTATATCGGCGCGAGAAAGCAACACGTGGATGTTTATACTATACGTGCATACGGGCAAGATTTCGGACTTAACATGCCGACGCGCGCGTTTATATAAATAATACATGGGCATATAGATCATTGAACCGTCGGGGTGGGAAAGTGCCGAGCTTTATACGGTAATGTGCAGAACTTGAAAAATGGATTGTTCGCGTATACTTGTGGGAAGTGACCGTAAGGTCCATCTTGCTGTTCAATGTCCCGCGATGCTCCACTGATTAATGCGTCTACGCCAACTCGTGCGACTCATACAGGATTGGTGCGCTTGAGATTCGTTATTCGACATTACATACGAATGAATTACTCCATCGATTGCGTTTTATCTCCGATTCGGATGTACATTGATATATGCGGTATAATGGGATGCACGGATCTCGGCGCGATCACACGATACTCTAATTTACACAGATCGCTTCACTCGCTGCTAAGCATCTTCCCAATCTCCGTTTCCGTCCCGAGTCCTTTTTTTTTTCGAAGCGGATGATCGTCCGCTTTTTCCTTCCGTTGGATACATTCGCATTTCGAGTATACAAGTGCGATTCACGAAGCTTTTTTCTTTCTTTCCGCTCCCGATTTTCGGCTAACCCTTTTTCTCATCGCTCGCATTCGAAAAACTCCTCTACCCGAGTGGGGTTAGCTTACCTATAGACGCGTGCATTATGTAATGGTCCAAATGAAACTTTCGGTAATAATATTATTATTGCATGGGATCGAGTGCCTACGTCCTGATCCTGTGCTTATCGCCCGTCCCGATCGTGGGCACATATTCGAAAATTGAAAAAGTCATCTTGCTCAAAAGCTCGTAAGACTGCAGTTGCGATCCGCAACGATTTATAACACACATTCGTACACCCAATTTCAATTGGATTGTAAGCTTAAATTCGCGCGCGCATCATTGTGCGCGTAATGTGCGCATGTAAATAAACAACACCTCTGGCATCTTCTTGCGTATATACGTACTTGGTATTATGTATAAGGATTCGCATTTGTATATATATATAGGCCGCTGTGCTGCGTTTCAGCTGTGCGGGCCGCGCGACGCAACACGAAGCCTTATTTTCTCACGCGCATGCCGACGCGCACACACCCCGCAGACAGCACATATACAAAGTTATGCAGTGTGTTTGTACGAGGCGGCGGTGGCGGCATTGAACTTGATTTTCGTTGCAGGGGTTGCTGCTACTTTCTCCCTCTCACTCGTTTCAAGAGAGAGAGAGAGAGAGACTTGATAAATAGGTAGTATAGCTGCACGCAGCTCGCAAAGGGGGAGGGAGGGCGCATTACGCCTCGCATGAATATACGTATTCGCTTACCGTCTCGTTAGGAGCGAGAGAAGCTAAATTAAAATCCATTATTATTGAGCTTCTGACGAATGTGTGTGTTTGTGCCTTGGCCGTGAATGCCTTATACTGTTTCCTTTATTTCTTTTTGTTGCTTTCATTTATGACCGTACTAGGCTGTTGCTGTTTTCTCTCTGTGTGTGGGAATTATTACATTATGCATTCTTGGCTCTCGAGGGCGC